AAACACGGAATGGTTAAAAGACAAACTGTAAACATATCGTCTTTCCTTCATTTTTCAATAATGAGAACACTTATGTTACAAAGAGATAAGAGTTCTTATTATAGAGTGTATTTTATTAAAAACAAGCAATGTTTTAAGTTTCAAAAGTACTCAACAAACAATGTGGTTTCCTTGACCTCATATAAATAAATAATTAAAGCAAATGAATTTGTTTGAAAAAGTGATAAACAATGCATGGCCTGATGGTCTAATGGTATGATTTGCGCTTCGGGTGCGCGAGGTTCCGGTTTCGATCACCGGTCAGGCCCATATTCTCTCTCTTTTTTTTCGTTCACAATTGGAAAATCAACTTATCAAAATGATGTGACGTAATTTCCGTTGAAAAATTCATCTTCAGCCATCTAATATCAATTTATTTTTATTCTGACAACAAAATGTCTTTTCAATCTTGCTAAATTCATTGCGAGAAAAAAAAAGCTCAACAATCAATAATTAACAGTGTTCATGTATTTTCTAGTCATTTGTTGATCACGAATTAATATGATCATCAATTGCTATTTTTGTTCTCTTTTTCTGATTAGTATGCAAAACAAAAATATACTGAAAAAACTTCGTTAATCTTTCTTTACATTGTATATATATATATGCAAATAATAAGAATAATCAAACAAAGGCTTCTTATATATAGTTTTTATTTAGCATTCAGAATCACTATTGAATTATTTTCATTGGTCATAATATTGATGATGCCTCTTTGCCTTTACTAACGCTAATGTAGAAACGAATTTATTTCTTCGTAGAAATAAAACAAAATTCAGAGATATTTTCTCATTTTCTAAATTAATTTAAATACTATTAATTGGACATCGTCTGTCAACATTCTGTTTAAACGTATTTTAATGATATTCGAACTGAAGACATATAAGATAATGACGAATGCATATCTTGTGATTACATTTCATTTTTAATAAACTTACAGACGAGATAAGGTTTTAACTGAGAACATTTTTTCATCGCATATAATTTATTTATCTACTATTCCAATATTCATATCTTCTATTAAGTTCTCAGTTATTAACAAATTACTTGTTCTTAGCTATCTATAAGAACCTCAGCTAATACTATCTGCTATCATAGAAGACTAAACTCTTCTTTTATTACTTGAATGACACATATTTCTAAACAATGATGAGATATTCGTGTTATACTATTTATGTAAATAAATAATAGTGACTGATTAGATTATTATCACGACAGACAACTATCATTGGTGGTATAGCACTAACTTTGTTGGCTTACACGACAATTATTTTACCAATTATATTCAAATATGTCGTCTTTGAATCATATCATTTGAATAAACTTTGAACTTGATTCAATAAACTAGATGAAATTCGAATTTTACTCGACTGCAAAATGTGGTGCACAGCTACAAATATCGATTATCGAAAAAAAATCAATTTATCATAAAATACTCTTCCCCAAAAGATATTCACACTTTATTGAAATCAGAGTTTTTTTTTTGTTATTGTAAATCAGAAAGATAATGTGTTCATCAAACAACTGATCAAAGTCAAAATGAAAGCGAAAAGTAGCCATTGCGAAATTTATTACTAGGGGAACTCTGATACGAGGTATCAACATGTTTCTAATGAAGTCTACTCATTAGTCGCTTGATTCTCATTCTGATTCATAATCTATCATTAGCTGTATTCACAACTGTCTTAGATACAAGTAAAGACATCGACGGTGAACTTTTCGTGCTAACTTCATTGAGATGCAAAGGATTGCATAAAGCTAAGTCAAATAGACCTGATCCAGTACCTAGTTCGATTATACATCTATCATAACCAATAGTAATTATCCAATAGTAGTTTATAATGAATACTTGTTTTCTAAAAGATATATTTTTTTGTCCTTAGATAATCACTAAGGCAAATCGATGTAGATCAACTCGAAAGACTACTAAGACCATTACTAAGTAACGTTGTATTTTTCCGATAGATAGGGCATTGTTTATTATCCTAAATTTTTATATAATGAAAAATATAAAGCAAGATTTTATACTTGAACGCTAGAGACCTTTGTTCAGAAGAGTTATCAGTATAAAACTAGCTTTAGTAACGTGACACAAAAAACGACATCAACTTTCGTCTCATGTATTTTATCATCTAACAAGAAAAAATAAATGTAGAAGTTTTTTTTTTATTTTAAGAGCAAAAGAAAGGAAATTTTCAACCGTATAATGATTGTACAAACCAAAAAAGAACGAAAAATCAATAAAGATACCAAAAGAAAAAAGAAATATCATGAAATATATCATATAACATCATAAGCTAAATAAACAATATGAATTAAATATCATAATAACATTATGAAATTAACTACATCATAATAATAATAGCAAACAATTTATTTCTAATACTAAAATTTACTGAGAAAATAAATATCACTCAAGTTATCTGTTCTACTTATACAATAATAATAATGTATGAAATCAAATATACATCGTGAGATTTAATGTAATATCATTATGTTATTATTACATAGTGACATAGATGCATAGTGTTATATTTATAAGTCTTATTTTTATTACATTTAATTCATATTGTTTATTTAGATTATGATGTTATATGATATATGCCATGATATTTCTTTTTTTTTTAAATATCTTTATTGATTTTTCGTTTTTGTTGGTTTGTACAATCATTATACAGTTGAAAATTCCCTTTCTCTTTTGCTTAAAATAAAAAACTTCTACATTTCTTTTTTTCTGTTGCTATATGATATTACATTAAATCTCAAGATGTACATTTGATTTCATACTTAATTATTATCACATATTTTAGTTGAAAAAAACTTCTACTTGAGGTAGCACTTTTGAAAACTAAATAGTACATTCTGTAGACAACTCTTACGGCTATAAAATTTCTATGCAAAGTTTTTTTTCTAAGCATTCCTGAATTTTTCAAAAAAAAAACCGATTTGCATTTCGTTGAAGACGTGACACTTTCATTAGCGGCGTGACAGAGTGCCGATATACAAAACGAAAAAATGCTCTTATAACTAAATGAGAAGTTCAAAACCAATTCCAAACGGTACAAATCCTTCCTCAGAATCTTTAGATGATGGTAAGACAAAAATTTTTGTTCTCGAACTTGACGAAATCTGTAGAAAACTGGCTTTCAAGATCAAGCTGTTTAGAATTCGATCTTGCTGAAAACTTCATCATAGATGCAACTCGTGCCACAGAGCCTATCATGAAGTTTTCGCATTTTTTCTTCATATGGTTAGAGAGTTATTTGCTAATTACTCTTTAATTAATTAATGATTTAATTTTAACTAATTGTCAGCTGGAAGAGCCAATATATTTACATATGTTTATCTTAACAGAACTTATTCAGAAAAATAACTTTTTTAAAGAATCAAAGTCAAATGAATGGTAGGTATGTCCTGCTTTGCCTGAAATGACCCATATATAGTCTTCGGAATAATATAGGTTTATTTGTTAATGGATTTATTAGTACTAATTCTCCAGCTATTATGCATGTGATATCATTTTATATCGACACTTATGGGCAACTTTTCGTTACACTTGATAACACACAATCAACAAGTTCTTCTATACGTACATGCTTCACTGGTTCATTGTCCGTTGTTTTCAGTGCTTTTTCCGACGTAATCAATGATTTTCAACTGTGTTCATGGGGATTAAATAGATAAGAGATTTAAAATCTTGCTAATCTTTAAATTGATAGAATTAAATGCGTGTTAGTAATTGTTATTTAGAATTGTCATTTACTCAATTGAATATTACTAATTATTCACTTTGAATTTTTGACAAAAAAACATGCCCATCATGAAAGGAAGAAAATATGTGATCAAATAAGATGACAACAATAGTAAGTGGTTTTTCTGTTTTTATGATACCGATCAAGTTCAACTTCCTCTAATTCTTTTTAATAGTTATCTTCGATCGGAAACGAACTTAGGCTTCATGTTCATTTCCAGTCAAGTGAACTGAACCTGATGACGGCGGGCATCCTTTCACTTAAAAGCGTTTCCTGTGCTTATCAAACAAGAGCACACAAAATAATTGATTTCTCTACGTTCTTGACCTTTACCGATCGGTCTTTTTTTTCTTCTTTCTCTCTCTCTCTCTCTATTGTACTCATCATAATAGTAAATCTTTTTTCCCATGTTCTACTAATCACATATACCTTTATGTCTTCTTGTTCTACTTCATAATTAGTTGAACAAACAACATCAAAGAACTCATGAAAAATGAGAACATATCATACAGTGTTAAATTAAAATTTTACTCCACCTTATTATTGTTCGATATAAGCAGATGTGTCTGTATAATAGAGGTAAAAAAAATTAATTCCTTAAATCATACCGACTCGATCTTCATACAAACTCAAGTTCACTTTACGAGGATAATAAAGAAAAGAAAAACGAAATCTTTTGAAAATTAATTCAGAACGTATAATGACATCTAACTACAAAGGGTTCCATAGATATATATATATAGTACTATTCAAATATGTGTATAGTCAACGTTCATGTCAAAGTTGAACTTCATCTAGGACATGAACATTAATATGTATACATCCATTTATTTATTTATTTATTTATTCGATCAGTAAAGATGAACATCACGCGATAAATAAAAAAAAAATGTTTTCCATTGTAAATTTAACAACGTGTTTTAAACGTGATGAAAACGATTATTATGGTAGTATATTTATTTGCCATGTATGCCTATGTCGCTCATCAGGTAGATGACGAGTGTACGATACGTGAAGAAAAAAAAAAGAATTAAAGTAACCAATGAATATCAACGTGTCTTACTTTTTTTTTTTATCGTTCGTTCGTTCGTTCGTTTGTTCATTCATTCATTCATTTCTATTCAAACATATAAAGTCTTCATCACTCAACATTCATACCCATATTCTTGTCTTGATTTATCTTCTTCATTTACTACTATCTTAAAATAAATGACACGAACTTCGTCAAAAAAACTAAATATGACAAAAATGGAATTAAAAAAATTAAAATCCATTCTACCAACATTAAAACAAAAACCAACATCAACACCAATTGAAATTGTTTTAGAAACAATACGTTATATTCGACAATTAGAAGATCAATTAATTGATCGATTTCAAATGAATATATCAAATTCAACTTCTCAATCATCATTATTTGATTTATCTACTGATTCTTCTTCTTCATCAACATCAATTCCATTACAAGATATTGGAAATAGTAACTAAAAAATTATTCGAAAACAGTTTTATGTCTTTATTTATGTATATACATTTTTCTTCTTTCGAATACATTTGTATTGAAAGACACATATAGTCTTCTTTTGTTTTTTCATGTATTATTTGATTATGGTGGAAAAAAAGTTACTTTGAAGCAATCCGACATAGTTACATCAGAAAACTATATCTGATTGTTCGTGTAGATGAAGGTGATGATTGTCACCTTATGTGACTCGTATCTTGTTTTAGATTTCTTTTCTTATGATAATAAAAATGAAACAATCTGTTGATATGTAATCATCAAACGAAGAAAAAAAAAGAAAAAGGAAATGATTACCTATTGAATTCAATAAAAAGAAACTTTTGTTTTCGTTATCGAATAAAGAATTTGTATGAGAGCGGAACAAATATTCTATTCAATGAGTTCATAGTGATAATGTTTATGACACTTTACTACAAAGAAAGAATAATAACCATTTCGCTTGATTTATACAATAGATCGCTATTTTCCCACCGTTTCGCTCTAATTCATATATATTTGAACAGCATGAAACTTGTATACATTCAGGTGCTAATCATCATCATTATTATATTTATATATATATATATGTGTGTATTGTATATACCAGCATATTTCTCTATTCTTTTCGCTTAAGTTGTATACTATCATGTACTTTTCTATTGAAAAGGAAAAGAGAGATTGATTATTCTCCCATTCTCAATATTTTGAAGGAAGGTAAATGAACACTTGACGAAAAAAAATGAGTAATTTGGAATTGATATATGCAGTTGAATCAACCAGTTATTATTCGATAATGGTAATGATGATCGGAAGGAGGAGGAGGAGGAGGACGACAACGAAAATTCCAATAAAGTTCATACCTGATGGTATGCAGTGAACGAAAAAAAAAATGAACGGATACATTCATTCGAAATGACAATCTACTTGAACATGTAAATCGATGCAAAGGTCATCGTTTAATCACTTTTTCGCATGAAAATTATCATTAAATATTTTTTTTTCAAAGTATGATTATGAATAATGTCGAAGACTATTAGCATAGTTTAAACACTGTTATAATTATTTTATGTCATTTTTTTCTGATCAATCTATTGTCCTGCTCAATCAAAAATTTGAATAAATGATATGCAAAATATGATGAAACTAAATGGCACACAGGCTAAGCCCAATATGCGAACTCAGTATGAAATACATTCCCAAACTAGACTTATCGTTTATGAGATTATAAAACTATCGCATTGGTCGAAATGTTATATTTAGCGAAAACAAATATTTGTATATGATACCAAAGTAGAACGAAAAATGAGTTCAATGATCGTTTTATAATATACAACACAAATCAGTTACTAGAAAACAAGTCGAGTTTTGTGATAATTGAAAATCAATAGATATTGTATTAAAAGCCCATAAAAAGATGAGGCAGAATAATGCCATTTTCCTGTCAGTCCTTCCTCCATTCCATGGCTCTGAGATTTTTGTATTGAAAATACTCATTATATGAGTATTCGTCAGTAATACTCGTACTAAAATCTATACATCTGAGTACGACAATTGGTTATTCGCCGTGTAATATTAAATATTTCGTGAATATCCCTATATAGTTTTTGTGTATTCTAGTAGTTTATGTAGAATACTCATAAGCTTATATTCTGTTCAGTATTATCGTATTTTATTTAGATATAAAACTCAAGAATAATAAATACAGACGTACATAATAAATATTTGAGAAAACAATGAATAACTATCATTTTATCTTTACACTTGTTTAAAACAAATAATAAGATTAGAAAAATCTTCATTGTTAGAGAAGAAAGTGAAATATTTTATTATTTTTATATCATGAAAAAAAAATTTTATTTCTTTGTCTAAAAGATCACAAATAGGAATAAGACTTTAAAAAACAAGAAAGCTTTATTTTTAATAAAATATTTAATAGACAAGGAATCATAAAACTGCATGATCTCTTATTTCGTATAATGAGCAATCGTTTCTGTAGATTAATTCATAACTATCTGTAATCTTTTGATAATGTGTGAAAAAAAAAATTATTTGTCTATTGTATATTGTCTACATGTCTTCATGATTGTAAATCATAATTGACTTGTAATAAGAGTTGTTAATTACTTTCGTTTCATTGTATTTTACAATTAATCAAAAAATCTGTATTTTAATACAGAATTTTGGATCTGAATTTAGAAAATGAAATTTTAACGAATCTCAACTAACACACTTAAATAAATATTCAATCTCATCCGACAAGTTAACAGTTTAAAATGAAAACTCATTTTTAGGCTTTCTTACAGTCACGATTCAACAAAATCATATAAGTGACTCATCAGTAAAGAATAGAGGATCAATTAGATAAGTCAATAGGCCTGTTAGAAGGTCCTGTAATAGATCTACGTTTCAACATTACATTTCTAAAGATCCTCATATCGATATTCTTAATCAACATGGCCAGCTTATTCTTACAAGAAATGTCTACAAACTGGACTTTGAAAAAAATTTCAGCTAGCTCTGTAGGGGAGTATAGGAGGGTCTGAAACCTCGAATTCATGGAATGATAAATAACTGTACTAGGATGAGAGTCCATGTTGAGTTTGTACTGGTCATATAGCTATTACCCAAAAGTTTCGTGGATCGAAAAATGGCTTTATCGATTGACGTTCTGCATAAGTAACACTATTTTCATAATAACAACTTTATTCCTATCGATGGGAAAAGGAAAACATGAATTCGATGTAAACAAACGGATAAATTTAATTTATTCATGAAATTTAACAAATTAACCCAACTTATTCAATCAAAATTAAATAAAAGCTATTGATCTAACAAAATGTTCAGTCGAATATCTCAACACAATAACTATTCATTAGCGTTATTTACATATTTTATTAATGAATAGTTTATTCCCTTTACTTTCAAAACAGTATTGAAATTATAGACCTCATCGAAGCTAGTAGCCGAATATCAAATTCGAAGTTATATTTTTCGGTAATTGAACTATGCAAACTCAAGTTCAGTAACGCTTTCTCTATTTCGATTAGCTATTCTAAACTCAACTAAATTTTTCAAGTTAATTATGTTATATTCATGTATTGATGAATTTCTAGTATTATTTTATGATTTAATTGTTAAAAATTTTTCATAAGATATAAATTCTACATTAATATTGTCTTTTTGTTGAAATAAGCCCACCACATTTGACTTAAAATTAGCCATATAGAAGTGACAATCAATAGAAAATGATTTTTTGATAAATGTCTAAGATCCTTCTCTAATACGTGTTCATGTAACATCTCTTCAGTAGCTTGAACGATATAAGTAATTCCAATATTATCATATAAATTGGAAATCTGTGTTTAGTCTTAATGAAAGAAAAAATTATGAATTGTATACATCTATTTTGATGTTTACAATTCATAATTATTTTAATATTTGAATAATTTATCTAACTCATTGTGATAGATTTAATCAATTTATTTCGATCTTTGTTGTTCATTATATGTGAATAAGAAGTTCAATTCATCATTGATCATTGAAGAAATTTCCATTTAGTAACGTTGTTGTTGTTTTATCTTATGCATTCATTACTCATTGATGCTTTTTGTCTAGTTTTGTTTGTAAACATTTTTTTTGAGACGCATTTTAATTTCATTGTCATAACTTGTATATTAACGTCAATCATATTGAACTTTGAAAGTACTCTTCAATTACTTTTCGCTTGCTTCGTAATGTTGGAAAACATTTCTTCATTGCATGACGAATATAAAAAAAGTATGTGAAAAAGAAAAAAGTGAATGAACAAAGAAAAAAACATAATTTGTATAAACAACATTTTTGAGTGAAAAAGGAGGAAGTTTTTCCCGATGATAATTATACCAAGAAAGATTATTGATGATTATATAATGTACAAATGAATATTTATTTAAAAGAAACTGTTATTTTGTTTGTTTTTTATCGTCTAATAGCTTGATGCAAAGAAGAACATCCATGTTGTCCAGCATAATAGGTTTTTGTTTTGAAGAATGGACCGTGGTGGTGAAGAGATTTCCAACACTGACACTCATCCTCTCTTTCACTTCAGAAACTAAATTTCTTAGTCCTTTTTTTATTCCTTTCGTTTCATAGTTTGAAACAAAGGATATGTTCCTAACCTCTTTCGTCCTTGATATTTCGCTGATATTCTGCAGTTAAGATGACACAATTATATGATAGAATTTTTTTTGTCTTCTTTCTTTTCTTATGTATACAACCTGTGACTTTTATATCACTATTTAAGAGGCAATGCTCTTGCTGTGCATTGGTGCTTGATGTCAATCAAGAAAAATCGGTGAAATAGAAGAGAAGATCGTGCGATAAGTAAATTCTTGTTCTACTGAGCTCCTCCACGCTTTCTTATAGAACTTTTAAAAGAGAAAAAATATTCAAAATGTCTTTTGTATCTGCAATATGTTCAGACTGCAGATCCACTCTGAAATCCAAAAACTTTTTCGTAACTTGACTTGACTTGACCATCCCATGGCCCGATCCAAGTCGGATACTGCAGCCCTGTTAATAAAATAATTGCTTTATCTTTCGTCCTTTTGTGTTGATTGACCGAAACAAACGAACCAATGATTAATTTTCTCTCTATGCTGTACATGAGTAAAGGATTAATTAGCGGCTTTCTCATTACTACTACGTTGGAGTAGAGCTACAGAGATGTGACATCGATAGAACTCGACGAGTTCTATCTGGAAACATCATTTATTTTATTGAAAAGTGCTCATGGGCGAATTGCGCCGAGTTGTACATGAATTCAGTGTTTTTTCTATGTTTTTGTACTGTAATTGACATTTCTCATGATGTTACAGT